CCCAGATGAGCACTCTTTGGCAAACTGCTCTCGCTTCACAGCTGGACAGCGCTGAGACTACAGAGGCAGAGAAGCCAGRAGCAAGCGGAGCCCTGCAAATTCAGCCCTCACTCAGCACAAACRCAGACCCGTTGAGGCTGGAGAGATGTCAGGCTGGGGCTGCAAACGAGGAGCCCTAAATGGTGCAAGTAMCAGCTAAGAACATCCGAGATCTCTGCTGCGTTAGGCGAGCCACCTTACCTCTGATCTGCGAACACCTAGGAAATTTAACTGTTATAGCATGTTGCAATATATCAGAATATTCAGAAAACTCAGATTTTATGGAAAAATTCTTGACAGATCACATTATTTAATTCCAAATCTCTATTTTAAACTTGCAATTTTGAAGACCAAAATGCAGGAAAACAGATGTCAATAAAAGTGTAATTAGATTAGCTACATCTCAAACATTATGATTGGAGTCTAATTGGACAAATCGGTCTCCATTCGCAATTTGATAACATAAAAACAGACTAAGGTTAACAGAGAGCTAGGGGCACTGCAGCATACCAATTACTGCAAAAGCATGCTCCATTTTTTAACCAATTAATTTCACAGTGCTGAAAATTAAACCTTTCAAAATTCTGCAACTCCTATCAACTCTTGACCATTAAATTGTTTTAATGAACTAGGTCTGTCATCAGCTTGCTTTCTTAGGATATTCTTACCACTTCCAGCTCGCCCTCAATATTGGGTCACTTCAACAGATTCAAAATAAGACTGAATTCACTCTGTGTGGAAGTTAAAATAGAATCTTTACCTTAGAGACACTAGCGTTGCAAATACAACGTATGGGCAGACCAACACAAACCTACTGCAAATCTGGACAATGAATAACAGTACTTATTTTCTGTGGTGAAAGCTAAGGCAAGAATAACTAAATTAATCTGCTGCCAAGCAGGGAGTTGTAGTAYTGTGTGAATTCCAATGATACTCCATGAGTTCTCAATTTTATTAGCAAAGATCTATAAAAATCAGAACAAAAATGAAAAAATCACATCAGCAAACATGTTTAAGAAAAATCCATTTAAATTATAATATCCCAAATAAGACTGGCAATGAATGGGAGCAACAAGATATTCTCTTCTTTGCACAGGTTTAACATTGTGGCAGAAAGAAAATCAGTTGTCTGAAGGTCACCAATTAAACTACTTGAATCAAGAGCTGAAACTGCATCTTTTATGTCCTAATCCAGAATTAGTTTTATACAATCAACTTTTTCCTCCAATCAAGCCATTACAGGAGAACACTGAAGTGAATTTTTACTGATTTAATGCAACCATTCTAAGGATAGAGTTTTATATATTTCTGAAAAAAACATTGTTAGTGCTTGTGTATATTTAACCTATACATTAAAGGCCACTTATAAACTGAACAATCAGATCTTCTATCAGCAGATTTCATGGTCAGCATTAGAATTGCTRCTGCAGCACATTCAAGTTATTTGCTGCTTTCTGGCCTTCCAATGATATTTGCCGTTGTGGCAGTAAATCACTCTTGTGGAGCTTTCCTTGAAGTGGCTCTTAAACCCCCCTGTAAGGCTGTTCTGCAAGTCAAGCACTACCAGATCCTGTCCTTCATTTCACAGGGCAACAATTCGCATACTAGTTCATGGGAGTTCAACAAGGCTGGTCCTAATCAAGGGAAGGAAATGTTAAAAAGCTCTGAAGAATGAAGGAGACAAATAACTGGAAAAGCAGGAGCAGAGAACAAAGGACACAGCACCYGTGACATCTGCTTCACAAAACTGTGGACAGAGTAATTGAGGCAGGTTGAAGAATAGCAGTAAATACTCTGCAACTTAGAAAAATACGAAGTAATGTTTCACTGATGTGAACTAAAGCAGCCTCGACAAACATCACCTTTAAAAGACTTCTCCACCTGTCGAACTATAGAGAGTCACATGGCTGAAACAGAAGACAATATTGATCCKGAGGTTGGCAGATTGCCCAATGAAGAAATAAAACAAAGAAAAATAGGAAAGACAATGGGTCGAATGCAATGCAAATAAGACATTTGAAAAAAGAAAAAGAAGAATCAGAATAAAAATAAATTTCAAGGTGCAATTCCAAACAGAAAAGCACATAAGGATATGTGCAGAGAAAAAACACCCAGGAGAAGATACAGCAGCAATGGAAGAGCAATATCATAATAGGCAATAATAATAAATGAAATACTATTTTTTCATGGCCACAATGAATTGATTATTTTTATAACAGCCATAGATTTAATTACATTTGATTCTCAAAGTGCTTCAATTCTTTCTTCTGACAATGGCTAAATAAAAGTCTTTGTATCACTTAGGGGACTGCATTTTTATTTCCAGCAAACAAAAAGCAGATTTATTCTGTGAGCAATCCAGATTTCTAATAGTAACAAAGATGCTATATTCTATCTCTTGAAATATGTAAGAACTTGTGAATATAAGTCCAAGTGGTCATACTGGAACACAAATTAATAATAGCAGCAATAACTGTAAAAATTTCTCTTATCTCTAAATCTCTAAACTAGCGTTCATAAACTAGAACATAACTCTTTTTGACAGGACTGGAAAGCAGTCATTAACACTGATGAGATGATACAAATTATATTTCTAGAACATTTAGAGCAGACCCCTCTGAACGACACACACAACTTTGTTATACCACCAGTCAAATAGTTTATATCCAGTAGTGGAGAATGCAAAATATTTGCGTAACAGTCTCAGATTCCAGTTAGTGCCTCAAATCAAATAAATTTTTAAGAATAAATTGTTAACAATTAAGTAATTAAATCTTTAAATAGTGAAATTAAAAAGTTTTACTATTACAGAGATTAAAACTTAGACACAAAAATGTTACAGTTTGGAAAGCCTTTTAAAATGGAGTTTCTGTTGGGGGTATGATATAAACAATGATTTGCATCAGTGATTATCYTAATTAAACTGCTGTTTACATACAAAATGTTGATGTACTTCAAATGCTGCTGGGTGTCATTAGACCGCTCATTTAGTTGTGCAAGTCTCCTTTAGATCAAGTCACTTATCCCACCTCGATATACTGGGAACAGTATCTCAGCTGCAAGAAGCAAATCCAGAGCAAATTCACCCAGGCACGTTTTATTTCTGCCACACGGCCCAGCCCTGCTGCTCTGCGCACRGCTGCCCCAGAGGGAGGGCACCCTGGGGGTGCAGCCGCCCTTCCTGGCGCTGCCGCCCGCGGGGCCGGCTACGGACTCGGATAAAAACGGAGCCTGACGTCTCCCCGGGCATGTGCCACCTCTCTCATCCCTATGCAGGGATGCTCTGCATATGCTCAGGACAACCAAGGTACATTTCTCCCTGCTCTCTTCTCCTGTTTTTACATCAGATTTCTCACTCAACGCAGAAAGCTCCCTCATGATGACATAATGACCATCTGGCTAAGCTCATGCTGAAGGTCCTCACTAGATCACAAATTCAGGTCAAAAGAGCTGACAAAACGTAAACTGGAAAAAAAAAATACCACTATAATTCAGAAATTAGTGGTGACAGATATTCAGAATATAAATCCAGTTTCCTAGCCATTACTAGCCTCTTTACTCAGTCAATAGTAATGCCAAAAGCACTAGGGTTTCTTCCATCCTCTGCATCACAAAGCCTTCACTGATCTCTAAAACTAAAGAAATTCCCCCTATTAAACAGTGATACAAAATCCTAACATGTATTTCATTTTATATTTAAACATGCAGAAAATATTAAACAGCAACCTCAGTATTTAAGTAACCTGGACTAATTCCATAAACAAAGACAAGATCAGGACATAACTGTGGGACAATAACCACTAGATACATTTAAGTATGCTCACTTGTACCTGCTTTGCTCCAGATTTCCAATGAGTAATTACTGGCATGGCCAAGATAATTGTCAGTGATTAGTAGGTATAAAGAATGAAAGCTTGGAAAAACAAAAAGATAAGTACAGCATAATAATCTGCACTGCTGGGATGCAGCACAACTTACATTTCAATGTTATATATCACATGAAAAGAAGGGARATTAAAAAAAGACACTATAAAGATGAAGAAAAATTTAAAACAATCAAATATTTCTGAGCTATTAATCCTTCCTGATAATGAAGTGCTTTAGGATGACTTCTAAAACTCACTTTCATTTAGATGCTTCATTTATTTTGATTTGGTAGATAATTAGAGGGAAATCAAATCTGCCCCCACAGCACAGTATTTACCTGAGATGCAGCTCAAATGTCTTAGTTTTCTCACCTGTGTATTCAGTGTTATTGTTAAGTTTTATCTAAAATTTAGCATCAAAAATAAAATCTGCAATGTTTGCTGCCTGGTTAGTTGTAAGGAAAAAAATCAGGAGGAGTTATTCTTCTATGTTAATATGACAGTAGGAATTGGAACAGGAAAAACATTACAATCGATAGATATACAATAGTTCAGTTTTCTGTAGTCAGTTATTTAGTTATTACGTTTGTACTGCAAACATATAAAGATGCCACTTCTCTTTAGTTACTGGCAGAAGCCTTTGGACAGGGAAGCCTGTGTTGCAACTAACGGTCATCCTCTGAAATCCCCTGAAACACCAGGTAATTGGAGTTGCAATAGGATCATTCTTTAGGAGACTTTTCAGTTGAAGACTCAGCTCCAAAGAGAGGCATACCTGCATAAACCCAAAGAAAAGTATTTGAAATAGAAAGGGTAAATCTGAGCTGAATGGAAGAGGAGTTGTCACATCTGAGCTCATATGTATCAGTGCAGAAAAAAAAGTCAATAAAATCTGATCTGTATAAATCTATGTAAATATAACAATTATGATTACTAATGATCTTACAATGAAGATGTGAAGATGTTCAGTAACAAGCTGCTGTATAAAGATCACTCTGAAAAACAAAAGCTGTGTCATTGACCAATTCTTGTTGGGAAGACCAATGGTTTATCTCCTCACTGACTAACCAAAAAAGAAAAAAAGTCAACACTTACTGGACATCTTTTTTCTTTTGTTTATGAGGGTCCACTAGACGAAGAGTATCTCTGATAACAGCTACTTTCACTTCTTCATCTACAGGGCTTGGGACATTTTCAAACACCCCAGGAGACAGCTTTAATTCATCAAAGAATACAATTATTCAGCGTAGAAATGATTATTTATTTACATCTTCTCAAATGTTATACATAACCTGCATGTTTAAAATACATAATAACAGATTACAGAATACTTCTTAAAGAATTAGCAGATTCTGTAACATTTTCAATATGATATTGATTTTTGGCATGTCTTTGCTAAATTGAAATTTAAAAAGCTACTACTGTTACTTTTTATTATGTATACAAACTTGAAAAAAATGATTACCACTCCCTAAATACAGTTAAGTCAACTGCAGGGGACAATGAGTAAACGTATTTATGACAAAGATGATGTAGAACTTTCAAAAGTCCAATAAGTCATATTTCACGGATATAAGATTAGCAATGATTTCAAAGCACAAAACTGCAGAGAACCTTGCATATTGTATATTAGCAGACAGCTTTCATCTTTCAAAAAAGGAAAGAGACCAGAAAAACAACCCTAAACAATTTCATTCCAATATCACTGCTATTTGAAAGGTCTTACCTCTTTTTCATGTTCTATTCTCATGCTGGGGTTTGCATTTACTTCAAGTAACATGGGCTTCAAGTTTTTCATCAGGAGAATGTCAAATCCTAAAATCTGTGCATGGGAAGCAATATGTTACTTTCATTCTACTTACAGTGTTATTTTAGAGAGCATAACTTTTCTGCTACCACATCCTTTCCTCTATCTGTGGGAATGTTCTCTGATCCCAACTGAGGAAATGAAGAGGTCAATGTTATTTGCACAGAAGCATTTCCTCAAAAGAATCATAGAAGCAGAGAAGCATTATGGTTGGACAAGACCTTCAAGATCAAGTCCAACCGTAAACCCTTCAACACTATGTCTGCTAAACCATGCCCCTTTTGTGGGGGAGAAGAGAAATAACTAAAAAACATGAAGTACTGCTGAATAATTGCTGAAATCACTTTTCTTTAACACAGTATCTACCTCCACAGTACCCTCATCTCTACATACTTCATTATCAACATGGAATCTTAGCACCTACAAAAATTAGGCCTTAAAATTGCCACCATCATGGCTGCATTATGAAGCTGCAAAGCTTAATTACAAACATTGAGAAGYTGGAGTGGATATTGCTACTAACAGTTGATACTCACTGAAAATTCTGAATCTGTTTATAGCCAGCAGTAACACTGGTCAGGCTGCGGTGATCCCTAAGCTAGAACTTGGGTGCAGAGAACTTAAGCTGTGAGCTCCCTTGAAAGGGCAGTGGCCAGTTTACAACTGCTATTCACCTTTGTCCCTACTTCCTCTCACTGACGAACAAAATGAGTTAAAAAATGTAGAAAAGGAATGAAATATCCATACATTTAATTCATGCATATAAATTGTAAATAGCATTCTTAGTAAAAATTCCTACCCACCTGAAAGCAAGTTGGCCCAGGCTTTCCTGATGGTATGTCAGACTGATAGTAAACTTTTAGTTCTGGTGTTAGGGCAATAATTGTTTTAATCACCAATGAAATTATATCTGACCACACCTTTTTGACATCAACTCCTTTGGAAGACAGTCTGCACAGAATGCTTGAAAAAGTCCTCTTGCTGCCAGTGTTTGCATTGTCAGAATGGATGAAGTTCCCACTATGAATGTTTAATGAATAGTTGGTTAAGTGCATAAAAACCTGGTGCAAATTTTTGAGAGTGGGTTCTTGATAGGGCTCTGTACAAAATCTGGAAAGTCCATCTTTGGCTATATAAATCTCTAAGGGTTCTAAAGACTTCAGTAAGACATACAGACGAATATCAAACTTGAGTTTGTCAACAAGCAGTGGTTTGCAAATATATTCCTGGACCACAGCTGGCCTGCTCTGAAGCCCTCCTGTCAGTCTGATGTCACTAGGGTCTTTAATGAGGTAGATTCCATCCCCCTGGCAACCTCCATCAGGTTTTACAATAAAAGTGGGCTTCCAGGATGGATCCCTGTCTTTCATCACACGAATCTACAAGGAAAAGAAGAATTACGCTGAAGAACACTAAAAAGTGGGGAAGACAGAAACTAACAAATCGCATTCACAAGCAAAAATAATGAAAACAATATGATCACATCACTATAGTAGTAAACACCGTGYGAAAAAGGTAGCATATAAACAGTGCCAACAAGCACAAACCCAACAAYAACAAAAAAAAGCATGAGTAGGGAGTTACCAGTGCCAATAGAAGTGTTTTCTATAGAACAAGCCTTCGCATAAATGGTATCAGGAACTTCTTTTTAATTTTAGTAACAATTTACAATATGAAATGCAATGTATTTCATTGGGTCCATTATACTACATATTAACGCATAAGAAATTGTAAAGCTAAACTTTTGTGCTGTGCTTTGAATAACTATCAACAAAAATAATCATTAACTTAAGGAAATTAGCTTAGTTACTGAGGTATAAATCAAACAATAGTGGGAGAAGGAAACAAAATTTGACTCTTATGACTAATGTTATGTACAGTAGCATTCATTTTTTCTTTTTAAGCATATACTTGTGCAGGAAAAAAAAAAAAGAAAAGAAAAAAACTTTTATATCCTCAAAACAGCTGATGCACAACTGATGCAATAACACAGTTAAAGTCTCCCAAACTAAMACCCAAGCCCAGCCACAACCAGCATAACATAAGATCTCCCAAAGTTAAGATCAATCCTGCATCATTGAAAATAACAACTCAAAATTATGTTCTGCCCTTTTCGTAATACAGCTTTACAAAAATAGCATCTTCAGAGACAGGCGTCTGAAATTTCCTTTGGAAACATGCATCTTCCCACTAACAGACATCTTCATATTGAAGACGAAAACTTTAAATCTCCAATGGGCTTCAGTTCCATTGTCTAAAAYGCACTTCCAAAAGAAATTAGCAGTCCCAGATCTCTCAAATAAAATTTCCAAGTCTAACTGACTCACATGTGGTGAGCGTTTCAGAATTTCTATTTTGATTTGAAAAATGCTCAACTGTCCTGATTGGAAAGAGTCTTCAAGAAAGTGAAGCAATACATCCAATGCAGGAAAAAAAAAGTCTGAGTTTGCAAACAGTTAAACAACAGATCTGAAATGAAGAGAGCAGGATCTACCACAGACTCTCTCAGGCCTTTAATAACATGAAGTACAGCTAGATGATTGAGACTGGTTTTACCTTCTTTAAAGTAGATTGCTTTTAAAAATATCTTTAAATCTTCTATTTTAAGATTTAAGGCTCCTTACTAAAGGACTAAGTCATATATAGATAATGAGCTGTGTTCAGGTCAAAGTGACTGCAAGCCCTCGGAAATGCAAAGAGGTGGTTTAGGACCGTCCCCTTCTCTTGGGACAGGCTGCCAGGTTAACATGATGCTCCAGGTTCACATGCTCTTTGACACTTGCATCTACATGAAGTTGTCCCTCCTTTGGGCTCTCCACGAACTGTTGGAACACCCCATACACACTAGTACGCCTCAAATATACACTATGACTAGAGACATTCCCTGTTGCTTCGCTCACCCTCCTCCCCTTAACCCCTGAAGGCTCCTGATCCCTTCAGGTTCACAATAAAGAGAAGCAATGGTTTCATTCAGTGCTCTTGCAATAAATACACCTCAAAGACTGCACAAGATGCATAGAAAAATCTTGGTTCAGCCGTGGAAATAATCTTTTCCACTAGCAAATGATTTTCACAATGAGATGTCTAGTGTTAATTAAACAAGGAAATATCGAGTCATATACAGACAGGAAACAGATACCACAATTTACAACAAACAAGGYATCAGTTTTTGCCCCAGTTGCTAGCTAGCACCATTTTCCAAACTAAAGATTCTTCTAAATTGATGCAAAACTCCCACTAGGACTGGCATGTGAAAACCCAACGTRAAAAAAATAAAATTCTATCTTATCAGAGGCTGTGATCTGTACCAGAAAGATCTGTTCATAATACAYGACAGCCAAAATGCTTCTCGGCAGGCTAATTGCAAAGTCAGATGGAAAGTTTCTTGAAAAGTTGTTGGTATTTGGTACTGAACCAAAACCTCTGGAGGCCTCTGCAGTGCATTCCCTGTCACGTGCTCAGGCTGGAGCAGATGCTGGCTGTCCTGGGCGCCCGCGGCGCCGGCTCTGCAGGAAACAAACACAGGGTGCACGGCCACCACCACCACTGGCCCGGGCATGATCCTTTTAATAGGCAAAAAAACCTTAGAAAAGTCACCATGCTTCTCTCTGGGGAAATGCTTTTAGTTTGGGGATTTCTTAAAGACTATGTCAAATGTACTTGACAGCTAACAAATTGCACTAATGGAATGATTCCAGGAAACATTTTGTCCTAAGAGACACTCTGACAATTGAACTTACATGTATGTAGCAAAGGGAGACGCTCCCACTATGGAGGAAACTAGGAGGCGAGAAAATCTGACATCTATTCACATTCTATGAATAYACAAATAAAAATAGCAAGTCACAGAAATAGCAAGATGAAGCCCCCCCAAAAGTTAGCAAACCACTACTTTTCAGTATTGACTTCATTCTCTTGCTTGTAGTACCTTGCTATGAAAGTCTATTAAAGTCAGCTTTAAAATTTTGTTAGAGAACTGCCTATTTCTGTATTGTTTACAGCCACTTGAACCTTGATACTTGTGTTAGTTCTCTCAGTGCTTTGTAGATATCTATGAATAATAAACCTTGTCTACTCATCCTGAGTTTTTCAAAAGTGTGCCTTTGATTCTTGGGTGAATAAGGGAATTGGTTTACCTAGAAATGAAAACAGTGTAGGGGAAATATCTCTGCTTTGGCAGAACCTAAATATCCTACAGAACTGCAGATATGCCCTATTAGCTGAAATACAAAATAAAGGGTATTATAGAGTGTCTTGATCCTCACACATAAAGCAGGATATGAGTCCAGCACCATCCATGGGGTTATGAATCCAGCACCACTGTCATTCACAGGTATTTGCGAGGAAAGAAGTTGTTAGAGCATAAATTGTAAATTTCAAAATGSAACTATAAAATCCACATTTCCATAAACAATGATAGACCATAGGTCATGAAACGCAGAGTAGTGCACGGGCAATGCAAGGCATCCCCAACACAGGATGCAGCTCTAAACGTGCAGGATCCAGCCTGACAACTATATCAGCTTCTCGAGAGATCCAGAAAGGGAAAATACTTCAAATTTCCTGTTTTCTAAATGGAACGATGCCACATTAACATACTGAAATATCACAGATATTCTTAGTACAGACAATCCTTGTCTTACATTCACTCATTCCAAGAGGCTAGAACTGCGCTGGGGAGCCCGTTCTCCCCGCCCAGCCAGCAACCTGCTGGAAGAAGCCRCTGCCACCGCTTCCCACGCCAGGCAGCCCTCTCCCTGGCAACAGCTGGAGACTGGCTTGAAGGTGCCTGAGGATGCGAACTAACAAAGAGAAAACAATCAATTGTCAGGTCAGCCCTGGCACTGCAGCATGAAGAACTGCAACACGGGAAGCAGCTACCACTAACAGAATGGTGATTTTCAGACAAAACTCTCTYTTCTGTGACTATGCTAAGCAACTAATCCACACTTTAGCTCTCCTCCGACATTTCCAAAGACCAGAAGTACTTTTGGTTACATTCTATCCAATTATTTATTCTATTGAGAACCACATTACTAAAAACCTCTCCAGTAACTACAGCTTAAATACAAGTTTAATTATTTAGATTAGGATTTTTCTCATGGACAAGTAATCACACTAATGCAATGAAAGGTCCCTCATCAAAATAGGTCACTTGAAAGAGCAAAACAACACAATGGGGATTAAGCTTACATAAACAGTGTATGGATAAATAAGTCCAATTAGATCAGTGGCCCTAGATGTGCAAATAAGGAAAGCAGGATTTTATCCCCTTGTAATAATCTTCTCCTTAAAGGGTATTACAGTGCATACTAGAGGATTCTTTCTAGTTCATGCTAGCATTCTGGTAAGTATTTGATTAATCTTAAACACCCACTACTAAAACTGCTGTACTACAATCCAAGTCATATGTACAAAGTGCCAATGGAGGTCTAATAGGGCAGAAAGTAATAAAGACTCACTCTCCCTTAAAAGCACAAGGACAATCTGCCTCCTGCTCCCCATTTCTGCTCTTCCTGCCTCAGGCGACTTTTGCTCTGCTACAGCAGCAGTTTTTTGAGAAAGATAATGCTTTCTGGGGACTATTGTTGCAGATGCAAAGGCAATCTGCTTTTGAAATATTGCATTTTAAAACAGTCATTGAGTGTTATTTCAGTTCAGAACAAGATACGTGTTTACTACAGATGAGAGCAGAATGTAACATTTCAATCCAGACTAACTGCAGAGAGATGTAAAATGTTTCACTTTGGAGGKTTTTTTTTGTTTAATTACAATACTTGTGACATTTGATGCAGACATAGTTCCAAACAAAATAGCACAGAGATGCACGGCAAAATGACAAACTCAACTGACTCATTATCTTTAAAAACATGTTAACCATTTACAGTCAGTAGTGAGGGATGGTACAATGCCTGATGGAGTGTAAATCTGGCCCAATTGCAGGTTTATCTTTAATGATTAAAATACTAGCTGAATGAGTATGTTGAACTGAAAAAATATATAAAATGGGCTATAAGATTTGGTAGCATATAGGCCAGAATGTTTAAGCCCATAAGTCTAAAAGATGCCCAATAGTTGAAAAATCTCATTAAACCAAAAATATGCTGTGCTGGAAATCAGACGCAAATTAGATTCTTATTAAAAATTAATCACACTAGGTCTACTCATCATCCTTACAGACAGCAGACAGGAGGCAACATGAGAGTAACCAAGGTCTTAGTTTGAATCTCAAGCTGAAACAAGTTCTTATCAGGGCTGAGATTCCAGTAGATTCTTTTCTAATGGTGAAGTAGTCACAGCCCCTGATAAATCTGTTCATCCGTAGCTTATCTACAGATATGGTGACATGTTAGTAAACAATGTTTGATGTCACAAAAATAGGTAAATAATAAAGAGATAAATACATGCTTACTGATTAAAACTGTAAAGCAATTTAAAAAAACCCACTATTTCAGTTTAATATGAATGCTGCCAAGGGAACTATCATTTTGMTAGTGTTTCCCAATATGAATCAAATCTGCAGCCAACTGCTAAAAAAGGCAGCTCTCTCATTGATTACTGGCTTTTATACCACACAAGATTAATTATTAGATTGGCCAACAAATTTCTTCCTTTAGTAATTGCCATTCTTTTACCATTTCTAAAAGAGGCAAAGGCTCACAGGTGTTAAATTCTCTGTCCAACTCTTTRAGATAAAATTCCATACTATAAATGGCACCAAATTTTCTTCTCCTGTCTAATCTGTACCTATGCTGCAACAGAAATCATGAAATTTGGTAATGAACTTTAATGGGCTTGAATGTCAGTAATACTGAAGCCACAGCAGCACAGGTTTCAGCATGACTTGTCTACTTAGTTGCTGAAGTTCATGACAATGTAAGTCTCTTTTTTAGAAGTACCTGTGATGGTTAAGTCATCTTCTGTTCAAGCTGATGCCCATATGGCAATCACAAATTCAAGCATATGCCAGTTCTTATAAGGGTGCATCTAAAATGCAGGCACCACTCATGCTGTTTGTGAATGAACCATAAATTCAGTCTTTGAGAGATCACATTTTCAACAATAGAAAGGTCTCTCAATTGTAAAGCAAACAAATAAAAGAAAAATACATGCACACATAAATAGCAGAAAAGATTGGAAAGCTCCTACTGAGAGATCAGAAAACTCCAAGTGAAAAGGGTTTTGAATCAGTTAGGGTTCATAATTTGAGGATCGGGGATTTTTTGTTTTGTGTGCTTTCTTGTTTTGGAGGGGTTACATTACAAACTTCTGTTAAGCAGAATCTAAACTTTTGCAACATAAAATATAGTGTTTTATAACAAGAACCGTGCTTTTCTCAAACACAGATGGAAGAACATATGCAAAGGAAATTCTGAGGAATGTGTTACTGGACATCTGTTTTTCTTGGAGCAAAACCCAAATCCTCTTCCCCCAAATATTTATTTACAGTGCCACCTGCTGACCCCACGGGGTACTGTACCCTTAGCCTGGTAGCAGATCACATCCCCATGTGCTGATCAGTTTCATCAGTGTCTTGTAACCGAGACAAGAATGATTCCCAAAAGAATCACAGCTAGAACCCCAGTGCATCATTTTGAAAGCTTATTTCTGTTTTATTTTTACTTATTTGCCTGTCATGTCTAAATTGACTTTGTAACTTATAAGTTTACGAAGCGGTCTTTCATTTTCAGTAACAAACCTGAAATACTATTGGAATTGTGTTTATTTTTACTGTTACTAGCAGTGTCATGGCAGTGGCCCAGTATACTTGCAGAGTACATATTAAAAGATGATCATGGATTTAACTGGATTGTGGAAATGATAGTTATCTAAAAAGTAACATACAGTATAGAAGTCTAATAAAGTCCATACCTTTTCCTGCTCACTTTTCCAAGCAGAGGATACTGCAGAATACAAGAATGCACTGGGCGAGTCAGACAGAGTTAAAACAAACACATATAATATTTTAAAAATATTTGCAATAACAGAACTGAACACCAGCTGAAAAAAGAATGGCATTTTGTTACATTTTGGATATTTAAACAAAGTAACAGTCTGACAGGACACTCAAAAAATTACACAGAAAAAAATGTGCATATATTTAAAACAACACACAACAGAAAACTCTTCTGAGGGATTCAGATAAAACAGGGAAGATGGACTAACAAGATTCCAGTAGTAATGAACCTGAAGACATAACACAAACCACAAACTATAGTATTAGAACTACCAATACTCAGTCCCCTTAAACTCAGTAGAGTATGTGGGGAAAGGATTTCTGTTTCTATTGTGTTTAATTTTTAAATATTTCTTCTGGTATTGCAAAAAAGTTTAATGCTCCTAAATTTATTCTAGAAGGAAAAAAAAAGTCTGACCTCAGGCAAATGAGAAACAATGCCATCCACAGCACCTACATAAGTGTGATTTTTTTAATAATCRAGTAGAAATGAAAAATAAAATGACATGCCCACCATATGGAAAAATTTAAATTATTCTGAGAGTAAAAGTATTCTACCTCTTTCTCAAAGAAGGAAGATTCATCTGGCAGAATCCAGGATCGGGGATAGAAGTTATACTCAAGAGGAAACAGATACTGCATTGTTCGCACTGCCCGGCTCAGTGTAATTTTGCGTACCATCTCCGTCATACCTAGGGAAAATAACAGATATTATTTAAAGGCAATGAAGAAATGTCACTGAGGCCTCATTGTAAAAGTAGATTGCTGTATCATTACTCACCATATAGGAAAAAAAAAAGCGTAGCCCTTCCCTGACTACTGTATCATACTGAGAAGAGCTATTAGCTGTCCAAAAGAGAGCTCAGAATAATAAAGGGAAGTGCTTTAGTCTAATAGCAATTACTGCCTTTGCTGTAGTCAACAACTAATGCCTTGGCTTGATAACATTTCAAGAATAGAAAACAATTCAATTTAAATGTAAGAAACTGCTTTGTATTTATTTTGCATTCACTTAAGCAATTGTGTCGGRCAGAATAGACTTTGTGAGCAATAGAACTTAGGAAGCCAGTTTTCCTGTAGMTTTGAATCTGAAGTTTGCTTTACCCCATGTCTGGATTAGTGTGTTCTGATCAAAGCTTTTTCCAAGGCATTGTGTGTTACTCTTGTGTTGATTTATGTGCTGTCAAACATCACAGCTCAGTTCATGTTGCAACTTCTTTCTCAGTCAGAACTGTGGGCTTTACCACCACGTCAGCAAATTTCTACCTCTGCCGAGTATGGTTGATTTCGGTTCCAGAGCTTCAGGGAGGAGCGAGAAAGCAACAGGGCACAACAGGCAACAAGAGATGTGACCAAAAAAGCTACCTTTATGGAAAGGCCTTTCTGAGGATCAATCCTTCTACGTTTTTTTTTTTTAAATACATCACAATTAAATAACAGAAGAATTAAGATCTCTTAAGGAGAAAGAATCTACGCATTCTGCTTGCTTATCACACAGAAGGCAGAGCACAGAGAAGGTAACATTCACATGACACTATGCAATTCAAACCACCAGAAAACTATACTATTTGATATTAATGTGAACTGCCCATAGAAAGTCAGGGTGAAGAGCACTGAGTTCGATAGCTATCCAAGGTTTCGCATTCTCACAGCATACTAACAGCAGCAATAAATCTGAAGCAAAGGGCTTAGGTAAGTCAATACATAAGATCTTAGCTATTGTTTAGAGAGCTCTCAAATGGGATTAAATGAGAAATAAGGGAGCTTAAAGAAGAAGAATAGTCATAATAAGATGAGGGCTGACGTGAACTCTTCAATATTAAAAAATCCACTTGAGGATGTCTGTTCTCCCTGTAATAGGACAGAGTTCAAAACAATTTTTTCCCACTACAAAAGAAAAACGAATTCAAATATTCCACACTGCTAATGATGTTAAATAGCACAGAGTAACTGCATGCTTACCTCACTTAAATCACATCATAAAACTCAGTCTTTTTCTAAATTCATACCAGGATATAAGAAATATATGTTGAATAAACAAAAGTCAGGATACATTTTTTAGTTAGTATGTAACTAAGCAAAAATCAGGAATATGATCTCATATAGTATTTAGAAAAGGAGAATGGAAACACTGCCTTTTACTTTTATTGGTCTGGGCTTTAATTTTTCCACATAGTCTAACCCTAATCCTATATACCTTTGTAATGTTGAGAGACTTACTCTGCAATCCAAAAAGGGTGATCGCCAAATTCAARTACACTATTTTCTCTTCCTATCACCCTCAGTCTATTTAGATGTATCAAAAGTTGGAGATGGGAAACGCATTGGACTTCAAATAAATTCCATCTGTTATTATGATTCTAATAACTTAAATAGTGGATAACCCACACAGAAATAGCAAGAAAAAGTCCAAAAGATAATCTAGGAGGAGAAGAAAAGGATTAAGACTAATCTAAATTTAAGAGGAATCTCTCCTAACCCCCTAAACACACACAAATTGACAAATAAGCCTATTTGTTTTAATTGCTTACAAGATCCCCTTACCTTCACACAAGCTCTATAACCACCTCCCTCCCAAATTCTCCCCTAAGCAAAAATCACCTACCAAGAATAACACTCTGAAAATACTGTCATCTGGGTAGGCAGGTGGTTCAGAAGAAATAGTAAAACACAAAATCAGCTAAAATTGTTACGGTTTTAAAGCATTTGTTTAAATCAGAAGCAGAGGTAAGGTACCTGGAAACTTGTTGACTTGACCTGAGAATATGTCATTATCATGAAACGACACCCCGTGCCAATAGATATCACACGGCAAGCGCCTGCCACATGGAAACTGCAAAAGAGATATGAGAAGTTTTGAAACAAAATGGCAATATTTGTTCATTACTTTTCTAAAATATAAAGCATAAATTACTCAACAGCCTTCTATCAAAACCAAATGTGCTCCACTTTGTTCAGCTCAAGCTTCTAAAATTCAAGAAGGGACATAACTGCAATGCACTCTGAGCAAGCTAGATTAAATGGATGCAAAAGCTGCATCAAAAATATTAAATAAAGAAAGCTTTTTAAGTGAGGTAACTGTATTTATCTAATCACTGTTAAGTGCATACTTTTATCTTATTTAGGTCTAAGGCGATTATGCCAGCAATATTAAACAACCTAATAAGGTAAGAGTTTATTTTCCCATTCACACAAGATTTGGCCATAAATTTCCAATGGTAACTAGAGTGGATTATCTTATCAAGTACATTCATAACAACCTATTATATTAATAGATTGCATCTTTTTCAAACTGTATGCCATAATTACAACTACAACATTTTCGAGATCCAGTTCTATTAAATATCTATCATCTTCCACACCCCATAACTACAAAATAGTTAACATATTTAAAGAAACTCTGCAAGTGTAYCTTAACAACCACAGTATGCTGCGAAAACTACTCATTCTTTACCCCAAAATSTATTTTTTCTTCCTTTAGTGTATTCCTTTAAGCCTTGGATTCCTTCTCAGCACAAAAGAGAAAAAAAAACTGCATAAATTTGAGTGAATTATTTACTTTAGCTGCTACTTTAATTAAAGTTTAGGTTTATTTACTAAACAGCTTTGAAAATTAAATTTAGAATGCTAATTTTGTGATGCAGCCTTTCTCTATTTCCTCACTCATGTGGGGAAATACACAATAGCAGAGTTAGAGGATTCTCCGCTTATTTCATTATTATTCAGACAGCAAAAAAACTATTTTGCACATGCAAAAATTAATTCTGTTAGGCTCTGAAAGACAATSAGTGGCCTTAACCTCTTTCCACAGGTATACGCAGAATACAGATTTAGTATTAAGTCTTGAGCTTCCCTTCCCACTAAAACCTGAAAAAATTATTTATTTATTAAATGGAATTGAAAGGAAAGGAATGAAATTTGCATTTATATAACATCTTTCATCTACAGAGGATATCAAAGCGKTTTATGAACACTGCATAGAAATCATTTCACTGGAGATGAAGTGTGAGCACCTCTGCACAGCAAAACGGAAGCCATTTTACACCAGAATCGATGATTCAGATAGCATAGTAGCTTCTCTACTTCTGAAAAAAAAAACATTATTTGGATTTGTATAACAATGAGACCAAACTAATCTCCTGAATGGGCTGGAAAGGATTTGCTATCATCTGCATCATATTTTAACACAACAATAGTGCTTAGAAAAAGAACAACAAACAAGCTTGATTATTCAGCTCTCTCTGGCAGCGTTAGGCACATATGAAATCATCCCAAACCCGTGCCAAGAGGCTCTTCTGCCCTCACTCCAGCTTCTGCTACAGGGGCTATCTAAAAAGACGGTGGATGACTGGAGCAGTCCCGGGTCTCAGCACGGCCTCCACGCAGCCCACGAGCAGCAGCGGCCGCCGCGCACGGGTCACAGCTGTGACCAAAGCTGCGTCTGCCCAGCCCTGTGCTCACAGGAACACAAACAACTTGCAGATTGCAAACAATTCACTCACTCTTCAAGGTGTTTATTTAAAATCTTTCTGTATTTGGACATGGATGGCAATCATGAGAACAAAAAACAGGAGGCTGCACGGTGAGCAAATCTGTTTTCACAACTCTGACACAACTACTGATCAATCATAGTCAAATTCTTCCGGCAGGTTATTTCTACCTCTTGATTGGAATCCAATAATTTAAGATCTGTCTCATGGGTCACATCAGTTTGCTCCATGATGTTTAATGACAAATTAAATAACTACTGGATCCTAGTCTGCTTTTCCCAGCATAAAATTTCTAACTATTTCTATGCCTCTGTGCATCTACCGAACAGCGAAACGAATGAAGCACTAAATGCTGGGATATTTGATGTCCGAGTTATCCGCTTCTTCCATTTTCCTGGTAATTGAAAGCCAGTTGAAGAAATGACTTATTAAGTGATGAATAACTCAGGATGCAAGCTCAATTTGTGCCCATTATCTCATCTGGCATATCATGTTCATTTAAAGAATCCGACACACCAAATCAGACAGTCCAGTCTAATGATGTTAGTAGCTGCTCCAACAGCATGCACATTAAAATCCTGCAATGCCTTTTAAAAAGTCCAGCCTTGTACATTACCCAAGACACGGCTATTGTAGTTGATAATTTAATTGACTCAAGATTTCCGTAGCTAAAAACTGTATCAAACCAGTAGAGCTGGATGATCAAATCTTTAATTTTATTTTTAAACGTCAATTAAAAAGAAAAATAAAAAAAAACAAGTTCCCCCTCTCTCCAGATTGCTCCACTAGGCTAGAGATTTTCTAATGGTGTCACATAGCTACAGCTCTTGCTCTGCAATATACTGTGTTTTCAGCTGTCCAAAAACCAATCAATTTCCCCAAGACTTCCCATGCGGTATCTCATTATTTAGATTGATTTCTTGCATGCAAGTGAGAAAACAGAACTTTGTGAAAACAAGACTTGAATACCGACAGCTAAAAAGTACTCTTGCCTCATAGGAAAAAATAAAACACCTTAAGAGTTATGGAAGAGCTCAGATATAAATGGAGAATTCACCCATAGGCAGAAACTGGTAATTTTACCTCTTCCTTCCACATGTGGGCAGATGAGTCTGTCCCATTCTAGCTGTTCAATACAGAACAATTAGTATATTGCAAAATGCTCTCTGTGTCACCTGAAAATAAAACAAATGAAACCCTGCAAATGGGTCTACTTTAAAATTGCAAATGTGGCATTGACCTGATATTAGTTGGCATTAGGTAACAGCATTTCTTAGGGAATTTCCTAGATTCCAGGTAATTGCCCTTGAGATACTGACTGATGCAGTCAGCCACTTGAGGGCTGATGCTCTTTTTCATTGATGCTACTTAAATTTAAACATTATAACTAAGATTCCATGGCTGTGATGCATTAAAGCCTGTTGCCCGTTTTGGGGATACCACTCCTTTCTAACCAATTCTTTCCACCAGTTTTAGCAGAGACCAAAGGACCAAAATGTTGAAGTTTCCATCAAAAAGCAAGCCAAGAGCTCTGTTAACACCTTCGCTTACACCATGACACGTGTAACAAGAGCCACTGAAGGAGAATTTCCTTCCTCCAGGCCTAGCTGCTACTTAGAAGTCAGAATATCTGAGGGGGAGAAAGCAGCATTTTAGAAGATTGACATCCAGGTAAGGGTTTGAGATCTTGGATGTCCAGTAAATCTGATTTTTAACTGATTCTAAATATATATTGGCAGGAGAAAATAACTTCTTGAGAAACAAAAATATTGTCACATTCTTTTGTATTTCTCTCTTCATTCTAAGAAGCTAAAGATTTTGCAGAAAAATTTCAGTGACTTTATAAGGAATGAATTATTAATTGTTTAGACAGTACAGTTAAATGTCTCAAAATACGATATTTGTTCTCTTCTTTATTAAGAACAACACAAAGAAGTCAGAGGGGAAAGCAACAAACTTAATGAGAAATATTGACTGAATTAACGGATGGAGGAGAGAGGATATTAAGGGAGACAGCAAACAAACAAAGATTAAGTAAAGCCCAAAGCGGCTGCTATTGTTGGATACAGAGAAGGAAGGGGAATACTGGTAATACGGTGCAGATATTAAAGAAGGTAACAAGAGCCTGTGAACCAAGTCAGTTCTAGGGCAGGATAACGAGTGCAGAGAATCAGATTCACCCAGTAGCCAAATCTCAGGAAACAGGAAAGATTGGAGGGAAAAAAAAAAAAAAAAAAAAGATAAAATTCAATCAGCAAATGTGTCTCGTTACCACTATAATCCCTGGGGGTAACCCAAGTAAATCAGAAGCACTCACTACAWTAGTATCCAGGTACTTGGAATATGAAACTTTGCCATGAGAATAAAGAAATTAAATGCAACCCTTGCGTTATATGTCACTGAAATAATAACGCATTAATTCATGGCAGGAAGCATATATCTTTGTAGTATTAAAGATTTCAGCTATTACGAACAAATACAAGTACACTCTCCAGAAAACAATTCTGTTGGTTTTAATTGTCAGGTTTAAACAATACAGAGCACACTTTGTGCAATGGTTCCTATCCCTTATTTAAAAACAAAACAAACAAATACCATCATATGTACGGAAATATTAGTATCCTGTGGGCCTGGAGGAAGAGACAAGACAAAAGACAGAAGTCTCACATCCCAACGGTGCCTTTGTCAAATGGGGCAGTTGAGCCAACGATCACGTCCTTTGACTCTTCCAGCTTCCCTTTTCCAACTGGATTATAAATACCCTTTTTCTTACAAAAGGGTAATGGCTTCTATGAAGTCATTTATAAAGTCACTGTGGAAAGAAGAGCCTTACAACTTAAAACTATTTAGCATCTGTAGTGAGATATATATTAGAAATCTCTTCAGAATTAAAATAGTGTTAAAATATCATTTTCATTCCAGTTCCCATATTGCCAGGTTTCCAGTTTTAAAAACAAGCGTGCACAATACTGGCCTCCTCATATTGTGCTGAGAAAGTTACAGGAAAAAATATAGACATATATCTTATCTCAACACAATCATTTAGAAGAACACAAGTTATGTATGTCRTATTAAGCCGTTCAGTATCATTTTACTCACATCCCGTGTTGTTTAATGCGGCCTCAAGATAACGCGTAAAACAGAGGTTTTACTCTCAGGCTGAGAGGCCGATCTACCAGCTCACACTTTCTTGCTCAATGTCATATCCCCATACTTGCGAGGTATAAAGGGTGAAAGGGAAGAGAGGCTGCAAAYGGAGAATTTTTTTTTAAAACAGATATTTCTACATGGGGGAGAGGTTTATTTCTTGTCCCTTTCAGGGATGAGTTTAAGCTTTGAAGGGTAAGATCCGATTACTCCTATTTTGGCTTGCATAACTGCTGGTGCCCATAGGTCATAAATCAGGTTCATGCCTTGAACCTAATTATAAATAACCAACATGGAGAAATGCCAGAAAACACCAACTGGAAGGACCTGCCCRCTGCGGGGGTCGCTTTCACCCTGGGTCAGGGACACTGGGGAGGAAAGAGGCAGGGAAAAGCTCTGGCAATGGTAGACTCGGGCTGAGGGGGTTTTGCCAGGGCAACGGGGGCTGCGGAGCGGCAGAGGGAGGCAGTGGGAGAAGCGAGGGCCCCGCCGGGCCGGGCTGGGCCCCGCAAGGCAGCAGGGAAAGGGCTCGGTGCGGGCCGGGCCTCACCTCCTTCCAGCGCAGCTGCCGCAGGCTGATCTTCAGCGCCTCCAGCGACGTCTTGGCCTTGGAGCTGTCCACGGTGACGCGGGGCCGCCGGGCCCGGCCGCCCGGTTCGCGCCCATCCCCGGCCCCGGCCCGCGCCCCGCACTCCGCCGGGCCCTGCGGGCCGGGCCCGCGGCGCTTCGCCTCCTGTGCGGCGGGCGGGTGCTCCTCGGCGGGGAGAGCGGGGGAGCCCGGGGGCTCGGCCGCCTCCGAGGCCGGGGAGCGGGGCCGGGCCCCGGGCGGCTCCATCAGCGGCGGCGCAGACTCGGCCCGGGCAGCCCCGCCGCGGCACGGCCGGTTGCCATGATAGCTCCGCAGCCCGCTTGGCAACGGCGGACGGGGCGCGCGAGGGGCCAAGCGCCGCCACAAGCGAACCGCCTCCGCGCGGGGGCGGGCCTCGGCGCCGCCCCCGCCCACGTGATCGCGGCCGGGTCGGCCATCTTGGCCACGGGCACGAAACTCTGCTCAAAGGACATGCGTGGAGGCCATTTCCGAAACGATGGCGGCGGCACCGGATGTGGCGCGGCGACCATCTTGGAAGCGGGCGCCCGGCGTTGCCTACTGCAGGCCTGAACGCGCTCCTGGGCCTCAGRTTCACCTTGATCAAAAATTCCCTTGTCCAGCAGCGACCACATTCCTTGCCTGGGATTACGCCAGGCCTATTATCCCATTGGTTTCGGTACCTCCTCATGGCGGCATTTTTAATCACAGCCACCCATGGGGATTGGCACGAGTCCGTGCTGCAGGTCCCCTTATCAGAAAAACCGAAACAGTCCCCAAAATGCTCACTCTGAATAGCCCTTGGGTAGTAAATCATCTCATTTTATGGAAAAATCCTCCCCAAATGCATAAACGTCAAATTGAACACATATACATGGATAATACATAACATATACTCATGCATTTTATATAAAATAATGCATAATAAATGGATATATTAAATTTTGGAAAATGATGTGTTTTCTTATCTACCATTGGCAGTAGGTGGCGCAGCACTCCATGAAATGTGTATGTTTCTCGCAGCATTTCAGCATTTATAAAGACTTTGGAAGAGTGGAGGAAAAAGATAGGAATAATCAAGATTTTGGATGAAATAACTGCCAACAGAACTGYGTTGCTGCAATAGAGAAGGGGCAGAACTTGCATGAAAGCAAAATTTAAATAAATGCCACAAAAACATAGAACTTCCCCTTGGATGGCAGGTAAAACGAAATGGTCATGGCAGGAAAATTAAGCTCAGTCCAGAGAGCAGAAAGAGATAAGAATGGGCTTTTCTTGTACCAGATGGGGTTTAGGAACACCTGGATTATCGCTTCATTTTCATTCAATATGTATTCTGTAGAATGAAGCAAGGTACCGCGTGCCTGGCCGACAGCGATGCCACACGTGTGGTGATTTCCACRAGCACTCTGCAATATTAAGGATGAAACTTTAATCATCAGGCTTTTCTGTCTCCTAAACGCCACATCCAGGCGCATGCAGGAGGGGCCTTGCTAGAAGCTGTACGTTAGGACCACCGAAAAGATGCTCAGGTGGAGGCTGAAACCATCCATCAGCCTGAATATTGGCCGTGCCAAGTATGCCAAGCGGATCAGCATGAACCTSTCCTGGGTTTCATCCACATCTACCTACAGCCCCCCTTTTCTTTAGCCTCTTTACTGGGGTAGCTTGAAAAGGTGTCAGCTACAGGCAGCTCCGATGGGTGTAAAAATGACAGCTGTCTGCCTGCTGATGTCATGTTACAGCCTCACCAAACAGCGCCAGATGGGAGCAACTGCTGGTGTCTGCCAACTGCGGCGTGATTTAAGAGTCGTGACCTGACTGTTGCAGTCTCTTATTTTATTGCTCATCCCCCGGATGAGCATTTTTTAACATATATTAAGAGATTTATCGTCAGCAGTGCTGAAGGAAAGCCAGGGATATAGTTGAGACGGGTCAAGGCATTAACAAGCTTTAAAGCATGGGAAATAACAAACGAAATGATTGCACAGGAGAAATATTTTTATATCGAATTAGTAAATATGCATGTTTCTTACAGGCTAATAACATACTAGTTGTTTCTTTACCGGAGAAGCAGTAATACATTCAGATACCTAGTTTGCTTTGTACTACATGGATAAAGCCTCCATCTCCTGTTGAGATAAATAGGGATGGTCTGTAGTGTACCGCATGAAATCAGCCTGCACTTGGTACTCACGTATTGCAAGGCAGGGGAGTAAAGTATAGGTTGAGTAGTAATGAGGTAGAAAGGTAATGGCTGAAGGAGAGTGTATCCTGCTGAATATCACAGGTTGGATCTACCCACGGGAGCAAAAACAAATGAAACTTTAGATTGTCTGTGCTCTGTGAGAAGAGAAATTTAAAGTTACTGTGTGCCCTTAAACACAAGCTTATTTTCTGAGACCTTTGCTCAGAGGGATTTGTTGAAAACAAATTGTTGCTGTTTTGGAACAACAAGTAATCTGTGTATTCTGCTCGAGAACTGTACATCTGTTGGAGTATGCTGCGGAAAATATTGAATTCTCTCTCAGAATCATCCTTCCAGTGTAACAAAAGCTACAATATTTGTAGAAGGGACAAAACAAAATGTACTCTCCTACACAGTCATAGCTTATCGGTTATTATATCACAGTTAAACTGGCATTTGTGTGTACCTGTCTGTGATGTGCACATATAACCAACAGGTCCAAAGATCATCATACAGCAATTTTATAGATGCAGAGATATACTGTAATATTACATCATGGATCAACCTGTTTCATTGAATTATGCTAGCAGGTACCCCGTATGTATACGCTGAAATATTCTCACTAAAAACCCAGGTCTAAGAATTACACTCTTCCAGACAAGAAACAGAGCAGCTGAGTTTCACATCATGATAACGCGCTGATCCAAGCAACTCACATCCTGAGGCTGGACCGTCTTGCCAACTCGCAGTACACAGAATTCCCGAGTCTGACATGGGAGCATAACAGGCTCCCAGGTTTAAAAAGTCACAACATTCTTCTCTAGTTTCTACTTGGCTTTTTGTTACTGAATCTGGATTGATATTTCTAGCTTTTCTGTTGCATAAGAGGGRCAAAAAAAAAAAMCCCACTTTTTCTATTTTTGTTTTTTAAAGAAAAGAACCTAAGTTATTTATCAAAACAACTTCTAGAACTGGCTTCCTGCCAGTGACAAAATAAGAATTACTTGCAGGAAGACTTCAACATAGCATACTTGAAAAACAACACATTCCTAAAACTATTATAAAAAATAAGTTACTCATTAAGAACTATCCATCCATGTCTGAAGTTAATAGTTCCTTCTGTACCTACGGTGAGTATTTTCTGTCCTTCGTACTTTCATAAATGAATTGGAAATAAATGTTTTGTAAACTGAGAAGTCAGAAGAAAACACATCTAGTAAACAGACTCCTTTGGAAAATGTCTTTGTTGCAATTATGCTTCTCAGACTGGATTAAAATTTGTTTACATTAACCTCTACTAACAATGTTTATATTAGACCTCTTAAGATTGTGGCTGACCTACATATGCAAACAAAACATTCGCTGCATACTTGGGGGGAGGAATTTGCATGACAGAAGATGACGAAAATATGCATAATTGTAGATGACATTTTTCATTCCTGGACCCTGTTGTACAGAACTTTGGAACTGGCCATGCATGAAAGAGGCTTGTGATTCTAATGGACAGATTKCCTGGCTATACTACAAAGCTGGAACTTCAAGACATTAAGCTTCTGTTTCTTCTTGAGAAATACAAAATCTGGCATAATCGTGGAGCCAAGCAGACGCGGCACTTGCAGAGAACATACATGTCCCTGGCTGAAGGGCACTGAAACAGAGGCAGCGGAGCAGCCTGTTCCGCATGTCACTTCGGAGTTCGTGTCATGTAGCAGCTCCAGGGACTCGCTGAAAGATTCTGCTCTTGAGTTTGCCTGTCTTCTTCAGCCCCACAATACAACAGGGGGGAATAGCACACTGTTTCCGTCACCCATACCTCATTTATCTAACTTGCCTCCACATTTCATCGCACAGCACATTTATAGGACATGGTTGGTGCCTCCAGGCTTAGGTGGTTAAACAAAGCTTTTAGTTTATTACCTAGTGATCATGAAAGATAGAGAGTTATCTGATATAAAAGGAAAAAGAGGAATTGCAGGTCAAAACACTTTTCTAAACTGCTTCATCCATCTCCCCTTGCTTCGAGATTTTTTTTTTCATAACTAGGGGACAGCATAGCTTCCTAGGAYGACAGGAAAAAGCACATATAAAAGCACATATCACTTTGCAATAGCTCTTTATGATAATATTTTAGGCTGTGCACAACTCCTGACATGCTACTTAATGCCAGTTAGCATCCACCTTATGTCTGTGCCTTAACTTTTGACCACTGATCATTTTAAGAAATCAGGGAAAAAAATGGTTTTCCTGAGTGGTAAGTAGTGCTTATTTTTGCCCCAGCAAGGGCCTGAATATAGGAAGTGATTATAAAGGAGGAAAAATATGTCTCAAATTTTGGAAATCCAACCGTGACATTCAATTGCTTGACATAACTAGTAGAGCATTTTATTGCTATAATATGCTGYTCTCCACTTCCCCCACACTGCTCAGCTCATCTTGCTTTGCAGGAAGGGGAGGAAGAATCTGCTTCTAAGTATTACGCAAGAAGAACCACTCCCAACTCTTAAATGACCATTAGTTATAACTAATGTTATAACTGACTAAATGTATAACTAATGTTATAACTAACTAAAGTTATAACTGAGATAAAACCTAAAGGCATAGAAATCAATGAAAGGTTTTATTACTTTGAAGCAAGACCCATATGATTTAGATGTATTCATCTCTCTTGCCTAYAAAGCCATCAGTAAGCCAGCTAAGTCCCTTGCGTCTTAATCGATGAAATTTTACAGCAATGAATGTGTTTTCCCAGTAACWCTGAATTGGGCATACATGAAGTGACATTTTGCCACTTTATTAAATACATTCTGAAAAATACCACATTCAAGCAAATACACAACTCGTGAAGGAGGCAAAGGAATTCAGCTGTTAAATCTCAAAAGRCTGTCCACTAGCACGCTGCAATTTGGCATGATAAGAAATGCAGCAGCATAAACATGTATTAATAATTCTTGATAAAAATTGGCATGACAAAACAGATCTGCTAAGACACTTAACTACTGAGATTCTCTGATCTTACAAGCATGATATGGAAGCGATTTGCTATTACAGAGTTTTTCTCTGGCATTTTGGGATGTTTGTCTTGTTGTTCTTGCTATGTCACTTCTTATTTATCATTTAAAATTTTTGTAGCTTCTACAGTGCAGAAATAAGTGTTTAAAATGGTTAGCAGAAGGGAAGTATATTCCTTGGCATCAAAACCAGACCTTCTTTGAAAGATGTGCAGTGTCTCTGCGACTCTGTTTCTCTGAGTTGTGGAGGTGTGGTAGGAAGAAACCTGGGAGGTTCAGATGGAAGCAACAGCCATCTTCCATGCAAAGCAACTGAAAAAGCAACGAAAGGACAGTGCCCTAATGGCTTATGCCACATCCAAGGTCCCTTCAAAATATGTAACGGTGTAGGAAGAGGGGTTGCAATGCAAAGTGATTGTCAATGGAAAGACAGAAACATACCCATGTGTGAGAGCATGAGAGGGAAAGAAATCTTGGTAGCCTGTGCTTCAAAAGAGAAGCTCATATAAACCTGTTCTCTGGAAAAAAAAAAAAAAAAGACTTAAAGCTGTAAGCCAAGAAGCTGTCTTTGGTGCTCAACTCCTACTATGTTCAGAAAAATGGAACTTTCTATGTGTATTTTGCACATCAAAGGAACAACTAGCTCAGTATCTCCATCTGATGCAAACACCCACTACAATTTTTTTCTTACTGTTCAGGTCAGGAAGGGGGTTGTTTACGCCAAATCTCTCATGATATACTATAGAACCATTTTATTCCACATATACACCAAATTGTAATTTCAAGAAAGAATGCTTTCTACCTGCAATGAAATTTTTTTTTTGCCCAAACTAGAAAATTAACAGCCTWCAAACAGAATTCTAAAATCTAGATCCAAGCATTAACCTTAGAAGAGCTAATCCCTATGAAAAGTTCAAGGAGGTTAATGAACATGGAATATTAAATACCTCAATTCAATCGTGATTTAACACATTCTGGCACCAGAAGATTTATTAATTCACAATTGCCTTATTTTTCCCAGGATTCATGTGAGGTATTTCTTTCTCCTTACCCAAAGGATTTTATAATCTGTGAGATTCACTAGAGAGCATCAGAACTAAAATAATAATAATAAAAAAGAGGATTTTTTAATTTCATCTATTTTTTTTTTATCATGTTAAGAGATTTGACTATCCCACAGTCTGCAATTCTCCCACTTTTGGGGTAAGGCTGTTGTGGCAATGGGCAGACAACGAGGAGGAACTTTTAGCAGCTCAGCTCCATGACAGGTTCCTGCATGCCCCAATTTAAGTGTAATATTGCAGAGCCAACGCACAGACTCACTAGTAGTGGCTGTGTTAGGCTTTTTCTCCTCCATACCAGTTGAGCTTCACAGACTTAAAGGAAGCACTAGCACATGCTGACTGGGTGACATCTCCTCTTTGGGCTTAAGAGAACCAGAGGTTTGAATCTTACTCTGTCCAAGGACATTTGAGCACAAAATCTAGGTTATTCTTTCAGGTCATACAAAATAAGAAGAGTGCTATGAAATATTTCAAGTGTTCAATAAACAAGAGCAAAATAAAACATAGAAAAATCAACCACAAAACTAAACTGATGAATCTCCAGGTGAGGTATGTATCTAAAGTAGCAAATGAGACAAAACTCAATGTATATATTTACATACATGAGACAAAGCTCTTTTTGAGTCACACTGAGATATGTGAATATGTGAATATTTAAATGGCAAACCATGGCAACTTTATAACCAGGGAGGAAAAAAAAAAAAAAAAAAAAAAGAAAGAAAAAGAGGCGCCTGTCTGGAAAGAGAAAATCTTAGCGGAGCCTGGGAAGCTGCCCACAGGACGCACCCCACGCCATGATGCCCACAATGCCGGGGAGAGCTGCTAATACCACAAAATACTTGAACGTCTGGAATCACAGTCAGTGAACTAGCAATGCCTCTTTGGGCTTTTTCTCCCTCTCATAATTATAAGTTTCTGGATTTTTGGCTTTTGCCCATCTCCCACTGACTTGTGTGCGTTCAGGGATGCCAAGAAACCCAGGCTGATTATAGTCATGAGACAGAGGCAGGGAGCGAGCAGCACAGGCTTAAATTTTCCCAACTAAATGACAGGAACTGGGGAACAACTGGCAGAGCAAAAGACAATCATTTGAAAAGGTCTGAAACTCCTGCCGAGGAGCGACAGAGCTGAGGGATCTGGCCTGAAGAAGAAAACGTCTGTTGACTTACAGAGCGAGCCAGGTCCCAGCTCCGTGTGGGGACCTTACCATCCTCTGGGCTTCAGAAGCTGGGGCAGATCAACACCTCCTGGATCAAACGCCACATCTTGGATTCTGTTCAATGATAATAAAAAGGATTAAATATATATGTATATATCAMGGGCTAATGTAAAAGCCACATGAAAGCTGGTGTCTAATAACGCTCCAGCTGGGGAGTATCTGTGTGATAAAAGGCTGTAACTGATTGCTCCATACACAACCAGACACATTAAACCTTGGGAAATCCGAATGAAACCAAGTGGCCAAACACGAGCCTCTGCTCCTCGGATCCTACACAGTTCACACTTCCAGAAGTTCCTGGAAGCAGCAAGTGGCCGCCCTAGCCAAAGACTTGGGACTTTGGAGACCCGGACTAGACCCCTGAGTCTCGCTGGTGCCCGCGGCGCGTGGCCACAGYGCCTGCCCTGCCGGGGAGGCCGGGACACGGGATGACCCAGGCAACGGGGACACGGACAAGGGCTGCCCCACAGCAACGGGGCAGTTGGCAAGGCCACCGATGCCCACCCACAGCGGCTTATTCCTAAAAACAAAGAAACAAGCGCGTCCCCAGCATGTCTTCTGTCCATCAGAGGGCACTGACGTGACAGGGACAGGCCGCGCGCGGGGGCACAAAGGTGACAAAACCRGGTTAGGGTTTGACAAGCGCCACGGGAGCTGTGGGGAGGCTGTAGAGTGCTTCGATTTGACTCAAAAGAGAGAACAAAGAACAAATATAGAATGTGGATTAATAACATACAGCCGTGAGCGCGCTGG